CAACAGAAAATTGAGGGCATTTTACAGGTTTCCATGCGTAGCATGTCTTTGCAGCTAGCTAGACTAAGAATGCTACCAACTTTTGCAGTCAGCTTTTCTTAGATTCGGTGAAGTAACGGAAGTTCTACCCGTAAAACCCTCCATTTCTACATTTTGCGCCAATCCGGTTTGTGTAATTTTAATGTAACTAGAATTTGTAATTCATTTCTTCATCTCTATTTCATTTGTTTTGAAATAACAACGGCGTTTGTGTATGTGGATTTTATGCCTTAAGCAAAGACTAATCAGCTCAAACTTTTCGCCCCATGCTTTTTGCTTTCAATGACCTGGGACGATACAGAGTGTCAAAAAAAATTTTATTGTGATCCGGAGGTGTTGGTTGCCCCTTAGCGAGAGATACATATAGCTTTTGCAAAGCGTAGACACAACCACTGAAACATTGCAATGAACGGAAGCTCTCACTGATTTAGTCCAAAACTCGCAGAAGGAATCCCACCAGTTGAGTATGGTGAATGAATGGGATAATGTTGCGATCTTATGCTAGCATAAATTTACAGTTCATTGGATAAAATTTACTTGTCCTTAGACATTAGTATCTTTCAGTAAATTTCATATCATTTGTTGGACGTATTTACACTAAGGTATTTGCAAATTATACGAATTAAGCAACAGTAAAAAAATTAGGGTATATTTTATTCCCATATTTTACTAATTTTGTGGATCTGGAACCAAATCCGTGTACTTTCACTTGCACAGACGCTGAGAAGTATCTTGGCTAATGCAACAAGCATAAACTATTCCATGACGTTGCGATCACTTTCTTTCAATGAAGCAGAAAATGCGTATGCTAGGATATGCACTTTTTTAAAAAGGATGGAATTTTACTCGGGGATTTTTCCTCAGCCTCTGCACTTCCTCTGAGGCGTATGTCCTTCGAGCCATATCAGTAGTCCCTCAACCCATGTGCACTTTGCCAATGTACATTCTTCCCGCGTATTATTTCTTGTTTCGTCTTCTGGAAGTCTCGAAGCGCTACACTGGTGGCAGTGGAAGGCGCGCCCGTTCTTAAAGGATAACCATCCATATATTTACTGCCGGTTGAAAAACATTAGCAGCGCAGAAGTGCAAATGCTACAGATGGGAGAAGCTGTGACGATCCCAATGCAAGGATTGGAAGTGACATCTACCTTCGGCAACTATCCCAGTAGTCACGTGTTCTGCCAGTGTTATGAACAACTAATGCGATGCTAACCGCAAACCATCTGGAAGAGCTCGCTACGGAGCTGTCTACAATGGCTATATGAAGATGTAAAGGAAGAGAACACGAGATACCTCCTCCACCTCCACCTCTACGATACTATTTTAAACCCAGTTGCGTGTTCAGTGACTCTGCGTTGAGACCAGTGTTCTTACGACTGGCGATGGACATACGAGATGGTTAGCACATTTGCCCTTCCCACAATACATCTCTCAAAGAGGATGAAACTGCAGATGCAGTGAAATAACCGAGGTGGAACATTGACGTTGCGGTCAGATATCTGTTTAGTGGGAGGGAAAGTAGTTGACTGGTGTGGATGGTTGGTTCGTGGATGCTGTTCTTACAGCACCGACTACGTTGTGATAGCCGACGCGGGGGGATTGACCAAGGGGAACGTTGGGGTCGGCGCTCAAAGTGGGAGGGGTGCTATGTAATACTTTAGCTATTTGTTTAACTCTTAATTTTGGCTTTGTGAGTACTTAAAGCTTCCTTTTTGTGCTTCCGCTATGCGGGATGCCCTCCAGGCCATACCAGTAGCCCCGCAGTCCTTTTTTCAGCTGAAAATACATATTCTGGCCGAGATTTATGTCCTCTCTCGTCTACAAGGAAGTTGTGACGTGCTACATGTGTTCTTTAAATGTTAGTTTTATGATTTTTAAAGTTTCTAAGTATAATAACAATCTTAAAATTTATTTGACCCATGTTAACCTTTCTAATGTAACCAATCTAATAAACACATTAATAGTATGCTTTAGCCACTAGCGTTTTATTTCCATAATTCACTTTTGTTTTCAGTCCGCTGTTTTTACCATTCCACCTTCAGCCCACCTGCCTGCAAACATGGTCAATTTGCATTCAGTCCGCAGGAGGAAAAGAAAATTTCCTCCTACCCGCATAAATTAGTTCGAGGAGGGCGTTCGCATGGAAGACTTGTAGGTCAAATGGATATTACTACTCGTCTCTTGACCAGCCAGCGAAGCAGGTTATTTAATTAATCTGCCACGTCCATCACTCCCCAGCCTGTCCGGTCGCTTTGTCCGTGATCAGAAGCATGTCTACTGAGGCGTTATACCGCGCGTTTTTACAGACGAGTTGTGGGTGGGTGGGTGAGTGATTTGATTGACTAAGTAGATTAGTTTTTTAAGCACTAACAGAAAGCAGGAAATGGACATTTAATCAACTAACTACACGGCTTAAGTTCTTGTGAATGTTTTTAGTTGTATTTTTTAAACATAAAAATGGAGTGGTCTTGATTAACAATGTAATAAACCTGAAGGTGTGTTGTTGGCACCCTCGGTAGGGAAACCAGTTTGCGCTGAATCAGACATTTAGTCCACTAGAGAACTATCAGCCGCATTTTTACGCTTATTATCCCAGGTATGTTTTGCAAGGGCAATCATTTTAATGGGAGAGTATGGGGTATGAAATTGAGCACCACAAGTAGCATACTGGCATTTAGGATCGAAAAATAACGTTGGCATTAACGACAAATTTGTTGTGTGCATACATAGATTGATGTATGTGCTAATAATACTCCTCGATTCTCCCATCACTCATCCTGTTCAGGACTTCTTACCTGTACATGGCGTCCAGTTAGCATTCTAGCTGCGTTATTGCCTTCTAATAAACGCAGAATTGAGATAATTTTGTGTGACCATTACGAATAATGGCTGTAATACTTTGTTTAACTCTCGGTTTTGATAACGGGCAACTTAGAGGCCCCACTACTGTACCCCCGCAGGACGGCATGGCCTTTGGGTCCAGCCAGCAGCTCCAAGTCCTACTGTACATCGAGCATTGTCTTCCTTTGGCTTTAGGAAGGTCTAGGGGCACTACATTGGTGGCAGCGGAAAGCGAACCCGATCTTAATAAACAACTATCCTGATTTCAACTTCCGTGTGATAAGCCTTAGCTAAGCGGAAGAAGTGCACATGTTACAGATGAGAGAATGGGTGACTACCTCTAACAGAAGGGCTGAAAATGGCAACTACCCGGGTTTCTGTCCTGCAAGAATGCTATTAACAACTAAAGCGATGGTAGCCGTGGCCGTGAACCATCTAGAAAAGTTTGTTACGGACCTGTCAGCGCTACCTGTAAGGAGATGTAAATTATGAGAGCAAGCGATACCTTCTCCACTTCTCTACTAGTCAGAAAGAGTCCAGATAGACAGATATGGCTGGGCAGTGCTTAAGTGAGAAAAAAAAGAGGGGCCAGTAGGAATTGAGGGGGGATTCCCTAGCCTACGGAACTATGTCAAACTCCGTCCTTTATTTTATAATCCTGCTTTTGGGCTAATGTTCTTTCGACTAGCAATGGGAACGCATAATGACCAACACACTACCCGTTCCCCAATACATTTTCTAAACCGGACGAAACTCCAGACCCATTGGTACTGCCAAAAGAGATCAGTGACGCTACAGTCAAATATAACGTTAATTGCTTTGTGATGGTCAACGCGGGAGGTTGACCAAGCGAAGCGACGAGTCGACGCTCAAAAGAAGGAAGGGGCTATGCAATACACTGTTTGTTTAGCTCTCCGTTTTGGTAACGGGAGCCTTGGGTGCTCCGTCTTTATACCCCCGCCGGGCGGCCTAGCAGCTGGGCCATGCTAGTAGCCCCTTATACCTTCCTTATGTCGACAATGCAAACTCTGGCCCAGTATTATCCTTTTTTTCGTCTTTGGGAAAGTCTTGAGTCCCTCCAATGCGCAATAAAGTTCAACGGACACAACTTTCTTTGAACAATCAGTTTTAGTAACGTGGATCCTAATAACTTACGTTCAGCAAAGCGAATCGGTAGTGCTGTAAAATCGTAATCCTGTCACCCTACGGAGGGCTCGGCTCGAACTATGTAATTCAGTAGTTTACCTCAGTGGCAACGGGATACAGGCTTAACCATAAATTTATAATTTCGTTAGCGGTCACTTGGGGGGAGGGGGGTATGTGGGAACTAAGGTCAGAGAGACACAGGGTAATCTGCTTTAATGTATCTCCCTGGTTAGCACCGTAATTGCCGCATGGTTACACACCAAGACTTTTGGGGGCGGCCATATTTATGGACTCGGGTCAAGTTGCACTAAAATCGCATGGCTAACCAATCAGCAGAGCTAGCGCAAGGCGTGCGGACAAGACGCGCGGTTTGTTTAGGCTACAAGCGAGGCAGGGGCGGGCCCGCGAACTAAGCGATGATCTGTTGAATTTAATGGCTTTAGGGTTAGTTTTAAGTACATTTGAGGCAAAAGTGGTTCAGGTCACTATATTATACTCCCCGAACTAATCAGTGAAGCTAGCGTCGTGACATTAAGTACTGGTGGTGTGTGCTTAAAAATTATTGAAGCCTCGCTCTTAAAGCCCTTAGCACTACATCAGTTCTGCCCAGACAATTTGCCTAAAAGCCAGCTCTAAAAGAATTTTAAACTTTTAACTCGAAATCAATTCCATCTTAGTGGGGATTCCTGAATTTTCAGCTCTTAACTGATAATCTCGACTATGCCCTAAATATACTGAAGACTCGCTGTAATTATTTTAGTCAGTGAAGCGGCATTTAAATGAACCACAAAGTGCCTATATCCTGTAGTTAATCCCATTGTAAGAATTACTTATACACCCATTGAAGTCCTCCTAGCTAAAGCTGAATAGATTGCTTAGCGGGGCACTTAATGCGTATCTAGGCGGTAGATCTAAGTACTACCTCTAAACATCACATCTAAAGATCTTAAAAATATGGCCCCATAAATAAATATATGAAACAGGTTTGCACTTCCCACTTCGAATAAAAGGACATTTTATAGAAAGTGTGCTGAAATGACTTTACTTACGATGCATGGGTAACAGCTAACCGTATGTTATGCATTAATGAGTATGGGATACCCAGATACAGAGATGCTTTAATACCCTTTAAGACCCCTCTAAAAGGAATTGAAACCACTTAATTCTGTCTTGCCCAGTTAGCGCTATTGGCATCAGTGGTGAATGAATATATGTAATTTGACTAAAATGAAGGCAAAAAATGATTGTGTCTTAATAACCAACAGCAAAATGAAGAGGATAAGTTAGCAGCAAGCTGATATCTAAACACGTGCTTAACTGTAAGGGCTTTTCACATTTCGGGTTGTGCCAAAATCTTTGGCATATGTGATTTAGTTCAAAGTCCAAAGATGCGTAATTGTGGCGCAATTATAGTGTTGAAAAATAAATCCATTTGTTTACATGTTGTACTCTTAATGACTTACAAAAACGGGGATTAACAAGAGTAATCATAACCATTTTTTTCTTAAAATCATACACTGAGGTTGAGCTCATTGTTGAAAACTCAGAATGATGTTGGACAAAATTTGTAGCATTACTATAATTCTTAGAAATGCACCTGATATTTCCTGAAATAACAAACGTCGAAGATATTTGCAGGTGAATTTTGTCCTGGTGGGCGTTCATCACCTCAAAACACCTATTATTTGTTGCATTTTGTGCAACTGCTTGTACTGTAGAAATTTTAAAAATATGTTTAAATAAATACCACGAAGGCTGAAATGGTGGAATTAAATAAAGCGCAATACAGGTGGGCTTTTTGATTTGGGTTGCTTACATGTCTTCGGGGTTCTATCACTTGTATTTTATCAAGGATGTTGCCACCCCTCTACAAAACTTGGCATTCGATGCAGTTACGAGTTACGAGAATCTTCGGCCGGTTTGGATAGATGGAGAAGATGCAGTTGAAAAATTCAAAGATTCTTCTCCAAACAATTGTTGTTTTGTCTTGGGAAAATTTTCTGGTTCAGTGTACGAACATTTCAGGGCTCTTGGTTCCTCTGTGTTTGGTCCACAAGTTCTGTTGGATTATTTGCGTGAGGAAAGACCTCTTCCAAATGTCTCTCACCCTCTTTTTCCACCGCTTTGCGGAATGCGAATGTCACTGTTACCTCAATTACCGGTCAACAACGGGAACGCCTCTTTTCCTCAATCGAAATGCTTCATGGGGTCGCCTCTAGGAACTTAACTGATGAAGTAAATGTAATCGTTGCTCCAAAAGTTGGTTCTAAAAAGTATATTGTTGGAGCGAGTCGAGGTCTGCACATCTTGACACCGGAATGGATCGACGAAGCGTGGAAACTTTCGGAAACTGTGGACCCAATTGATATGCTACAGCATAATTTAATGTCAAAATTTAAACTGCCTATATTTGCTCAGCTGGTTATCTGTGTGTCCGGACTTACAGTTGAGGAACGAAAAGAAGTAGCCGAAATTGTGAAAAACAACGGTGGACAGTATTCAGGTGAGATGAAGATCGGTTTGACAACCCATCTTCTTGTTAAGCGTGCTGGCGGTGTGAAGTATAATTTTGCGAAAAAGTGGAAAGTACGGGTTGTTTCTGTACACTGGCTATCAGATTCCGTTAGCAAGGGCTACGCCCTAGATGAAACTGATTATTACATTAAGGAGGAAGGCGGTCACCGTCAAAAATGTCATTCTTCCACACCCACCTCCTCAATTTCTGTCAATGATCCCAGCGTCTTGGGGGATCTTTCCGCCATTACTGATCCTAATCATGCCAAACTAGATGAGACACATTTCAGTTGTCTGAAGGATCTCACAAATAGCACTCGTCTTTCCAAATCGCCCGAACACTCATTTCTTACTGGTTGTGTTATTTTCCTTTATGGGTGCGATTCTTCTGAGTCTGCAAAGCTTGCCGAAATGATTAAAATTGGTGGCGGTATTTTGTGTGCTGATGCTTCTGAGAAAGTCACTGAGTCCGTGACACACGTCGTTTTTGGATCCGATTCTAAGCCCATTTCCCCCTCCGACCTGGAATCTGAAGTATTTTACGTAACACACAACTGGCTTGAACAATGTCATGAGCAACACAAGCGCCTTGCCGAGAAAGAATTCAAGCCTCCTTTCCTCAGCAAAACTGAACCATCGGATCAAAACATCGATGACAACAAACCCTCTGGGGTCCCAGTGGACACTGAAGAAATCCAGTTAATCAATCAATACTTCAAGGATGGTGGACTTGCTGATATGGATGATTTTCTCTCCATTGAAAATAATCCTGAGGATCAGACATTTCAAGGTGATGCTGAAGAGACAAAATTAGTCACCCTCAAACAGCCAGAACCCGAGGTTCAAGAGGAAGTAACCTTATCGGATTCTGGTCTATTTTCCCATCTTATTTTCAAGCCGGACATAAATTTCTCTCTTACTGCCCATCCTGCTCTATCCGAAGTGATCACAGATGAAGGCGGCAGTGTCATCAACGACTCATCGGTTGCTGCAGACTACATCATCTGTTCCTACGTTTTGCGTCAGCCAGCCACTTCCAACATGATAACTCCCTATTGGATTAACTGCTGTGTCACTGCTAAAACCCTTCTCATTTCCGAACTCGACACCCAAGTTGGTTTCCGTCCCATCCACATCCCCCCCTCCGTCACTCTACCCTTGGACGGATGTGTGATCTCTCTCAGCGGTTTCGTCGGCAATGACCGTGTCTTCCTCACCGATCTGGCCCGTGGGCTAGGTGCTGTGGTACAGGAGTGCTTTCTGCGTAAACCTGTGCCTTCGAGGAACCTCATAGCGAGCACCCATCTCGTTGCAGCCCGGCCCGATGGGCGGAAGTGGCCTGCGTCGAAGCAGTGGGGCTTGCCTGCTGTATCATGCAGCTGGTTGTACGCTTGTGCTACCACAGGGCGACGTGCAGCAGAGATGGAGCATCCGGTTATGGAGGAGGATCCATTGGTGCCGCAGGACTGGTCTCAGGTCATTCAACGGTCCTCCCTCGCCTTCAATGTGACTCCGAAGTCAACACGCCGGTCTGATGGAGGGGGGCAATTGAAGACCCCAGGGTGGGTAGGAGCTGGCGATCAGATGCGGACCCCTTCGTCGGGGTCTCTAGAGGTACTGCATGTCTCTCCACCGATGTCGGAGCAGGTAACACGGTGTCTGAAGACTGCTCTTGCAAAAACGAGTATGCTGCCGAAGAGGAATCTGGCAGAGACTGGTGAGTATGGCGCTTTATGGCAGAAAGGTATTTCATGTTTTTCAGCAAAGTCCCTGACTGGTCTGCTTTTCTAGACTTCAAGGAGGCGGCGCAGAGTGGAAGAGTTCTCAAGGGTGTGGTGATTTGTGTTGCAAAGTCTCTTAGTGATCGCCAGGTTGCGCTGAATGAACTTGTCAAACAGTTGGGTGGCGATTTTAGGTGGAACTTTGATGTTAAGGTTCGTTCAGTAAGCATGTTACTGCGTTCTTACTGTCTAATATTATCTCATTTAGACATTGCTAACCCTGGTGTTGATCATATTAGCACCCGAGTATCCGTTTTTCATAAAAAAAGTCATCTTTCTTATTTACGCTGAGTTAAAGCGTTAATTTGGTTTCAGTTTGACTGATTTCAGCCTGTTGTTTTTTCATTGGAATACTGTGTGCTTGATTGCTGCTTGTTTGTACTAAATATTTGCAGTGAAATGGCTTCTGATTTCACACATCTGAGGTTGCATATGGTTTATATTATTGGTTGTGTTTGTTATTCTTACTCCAACTAGATAAAAGCGATTAACTTTTACGCACTTAATGAAGGCCTTAATTTTGATTACACTTAGATGTGTTCATTCTCTGACTTGTTTGATCGAATTCTTGATAATGTTTACTTCTTTTTTTACTACCACAGGCGCTTATGACATTATCTTATTTCTGAAGTGTTACGCAGTGGATTCAGCTCTCCAACAGCTTTACATTGTTGTCTACTAATTTCAAGCGTTCAAATATTGTTGTAACAGCCAATTCGTTCGCAGTCTGAGATAGGCTTGCGTTTACTACAGCTTTTGCATTACTACTATCCGTCGCCGTAACTTCAAACTGACCTCTCGAGTGACTTATTTCGGATTGCACGGTTACAAATCAGAACGAAACTTCTCAAGCTGTCTGCGCTACTTTTTCACGGCACTATGGTGGAACTTGCGCTCAGAAATAGTCATTTGAAAGACTTTAAAAGGGGAACGTGTTCATTTGAAATAGCGACGATGATGAACCTTAACAACTGAAGTGCCATAGACTGCGGTTTGTCTCCTGTAGTTCAGCTGGACTCTATTTGGCTACTCCTGATATTAATTTTTACTGCTTTTATGCAGCCTCTGGTTACAAATAACTTCAGCATGATAGTAGAGACGGGTTTGAAGCTTAAAGCAAAAGAATGCACAACTGTTGCGAAGGTCGTAGTGCAGGTAGACTGAAAGAATTCTGGCTATGTCGTGCGAAACTAAAATAGACTTAGATTCTATGCTCCCAACCAACTTCACTGTCTCCCTGGAATTAGAGGTTTTCGTTTCCATTTTGTGCTCCTCAATGCTTTGATGGATGGGTTTATGCGAATAAGTAAGTTCTCAAACCTAGTAGTGCTGCAGTAGCGTCAGACCCTTTTTCCAAATACCTTATTTTAAAATTGTGGTGAGCAATAGATGAGAATAGTAGGATGATGGCGCATTGATGCATCCAAATTGTGGTTGTTCCCGCTTGTAAGGTTCAGTAAAGTCGGAATTTTTGCAGTTCCGGTCTTTGAAAGTCTGAAGGATTTTAGACTGACAGACTGAGAGTAACCATAATGTTTTCCAATGGCAGACTAGGCTTTGAAATGTTTAACCCCCGCCTAATTGAATAGGAAGGCTTTGACTTCTCTGCTTCTCATTTATGTGTCTTCTCAGACAGTCCTTTTCCCAGCACCAAGTGGCGCCGTAGTAGTGTGTATGTTGTCCTTTGTATTCTCCTCTAAACCCCTAATTTTTGAAAGCAAATAAATTCGGTAGCGGCTTCTATTTCACCATACCGTTTGCCTTACCAAACGTCTACTTCTAGGTTATACCCTCAAGCACCTGCGGTAGCACTGCATTTTTTTGCTTTGCATTGGTGCGTTGTAGGATGGTCGTACTTAAACAAACAGGTACTTTCTCACCACCTTGCCTTTCCTCCAACCCGTAGGTCTGCACGCACATGATCGCTTCTCCGAGCACTTGTCTCCTGCCCGCTGCATCGCCAATGCTAAGAGGAGCAGCATCTGCAAGCCAACCACCACAGACTCTCCTGGACCCAGACGTCCGAAGCGCCCTAGAGGAGTCCCATGTGAAAGTGGTGGTGCCTCAGTGGCTCTACGACTGCCAGCGCCTCGGGAAACACCTTCCCGAAGCTGATTACGCTTTCTCCATTGACTCGGGTAAGGGGCTTTTTGATACTCACATAGTTGGGATTTAGCGTTTGTGTTCCATCTTGTTTGCGAATTTGTCCTAGTCTTGTTTTAATCGTTGCCCAGCACTCCAGGTGACTCCTCGTCCGCATTGCTTCTCTGGTCCGACCAATAACGTGCAGCTCTTAAGTCATCCTTGAAGAAGATATGAGGAATGCAAACCCGAAATCAGTTTTATTGTCAACGTCATGCTAGCACAGATATCACGAACAGAGCTTAGTGGCACTACCGTAGAAAGGGAATCACGGACGGTTGGAAATATCCGCGTAGTAGCATAGTCAGTCCAAATGGCGTCTTAATACACTGATCCCGGCTTATCTAGAACTTAGTCATTGGTATGCTCCTCATGACTGCTCTTCCGCACCTACCATAAAAACTGTAGCTGGACCTGTTAAAACCATTGGTTGTTTGACTTTCGTCATATTTGTAAGGATGATTGGTTTGCTGATTCAGCCGTGTTTGGTGCTTTGATGTGTACTGATGATAGGCCCTAATTTGATCAGTAGGCATTGTGACAAATAACTCAAAGCTACGATTTCGCCATCTGAATGACTGATTTCATCGGTCCACAATAGCGAAAGTGAGACGCAATTGACATAATTTTCAGTGGCATTGCAGTCATTTTGTCCAAACAGCTGTGTTTCTAACATTGTTTATGGTAAACCTTTACTCTGGGTAATGGCCTATATATCCGGAGGTTGAGGCACCGGAGATCGGTGAAAGTCATGTATTAACCTGACTAAAATGGATATCACCGTGTTACCCTCTACTTTGTTTTGAGCGTTGTGATTACTTAAAGTCACTTCAGCGACGGTCGACTGTTTTAGAATTCTCAGCGAGATCTCAACAAATATCACACTTTCATCGTCATTTAACGCTAGAAGACCTCCGAATTCGCCCGTAGTCGTGTATTCGAGACACGTCGATGAATCCCCCTGTCGCTTTTTCTTTGAAAGTTGCATTATTGTAAATGCATCTTCTGTGACGGTTTTATTAAGACCATTTGCTCAGAAGCAGAAGTTGGCGTCAGAATTACGTTTTTTCTTTCACTTGCCCTTTTCATTGTTCCCATTTTTATGCTGCTCATCTGCCTGTCTTGGTTACTTTTGCTTTCTCGATACAAACCACACTCTTAATCCACTTGATCATTTATTATTTTTTTCCATCCTCCCTGTGAACAATTTTGATTTGTTCAGTCCTGGTTTTATACCATTACTGGTCATTGTATAGGACTTCACATTAAAGCCTCTACCGAAAGATTACACTGTTTTGATAGTCCATCTGCTATGAGTCTCTGTAGATTTAGCCATCCACTGCGGTTACTCTCCCCGTATGATATATGGGTCCGGTATCCAGTCAGTGAAATTCGGATGTTTGGTTGCCTCATGACACTAAAGTGGAGCAAACTTAGACGCCTTTTCCTCTAGTTCTTTCTCGACTGATTTGAGTGGTGAAACGCACTTTACCTCCTTAAATTTTCGATTTAGTATAAATGGTCGAATATTTGTGGAATGCTAGCATTAAGTCTTGTTAATTTCTGTTTTTCGGGTATCCTTATCCAATATATCCGCTTTCAATTCATTAGCTGATTTGGTTCGGCTAACTTGCTTGCGATCGCTTTGTCGAATAATTTAATGGTTCAAGTGAAATTTCATCTTCATATTTAGAATGCAGCCTGTGCAAACAAAATTGTTTTTTAGCATTAAGCTTTTTAACATTACACCTGATATCTTTAGTAGAAATAACAAAAGTAAACCGATTTTTACTTCATGACGCCATTATATGTTAACCGGTAATACCACTTTTTTCACAATAATCTTCCACTGATATTTGCCTCTGAAGAGGTCACCAGACTGAAAAGTGTGCAGACAATTTAGTTTTGCTGGAACATAGGGATCAGAAGGCTAAAATCACGGTTATCGCTGTTATGGGTAGCGTAGCAAGATGCATTGCCGTATACGGCCTCCGTCTTGTGATAGGCATTATATCCTGCACCCACTATCTTTACGATTCCGGACCGACCGTTACAAACGAGCTTAAATTTCTTAACCTCTTCCTTTTCTAGCAGCTACTGTTTCACCAAAGCAGTCGACATTAAAAGCGTCTGCTGCCACCGACGTTGTGGATGAGGCCCAGTCTTCATCGATTCTGGACGATGTGGCGCGTCGATTGGAGTCGGTGATGGGGAGCAAGGCACAGCCCTTCAGCGAAGACCCTCACCCCGACCGCCGCGACGTTTCTTTGGCCGTTCGAAGGTCGCACAGGACCCGTCGTCGGCATATGCCCACCTGCGGCTCTGGTGTCGACGGATTCGGCCTCAGCAGCTCTACAGCTCCTTCCAGCAACTTTGTTCTTCCTGGCCAGTCCCTTCAGGCGTGTTTGAATTTTTTATGAATTCATTGTTCATATCTAAATGCGTTTTAAAACTTACTGGTCTGAAAGCTGTTTATTATTTGTGTGCAGAAGAACGAAGAGAACTATTAGCATTATTGGGGTGATTCGGGAGCAAATCAAAGGGTTGCCGTTGCTACACCCAATGAAAGCAATGCTGTTACATATCTCCCCTTCCTTTTCTTTTAAGCGTCTTTTTGGTGCTTCACACTGTCACCGCAAGGTGGGAACAAAGATGCCATAACCACTTTATACCTTACCGAAAATGCTTCTTAATTTGTTCGTGGTGGTGGATGTCGTGCATTCAGATGGGTTTCTTACATATCACTTCTGTTAGGCAAAACGTTAGGAAGTAGCTCGTTTAGGAGGTAAAGCTGCAACACGGGGGAAGTGTCATTTGCTCCGATCATGTTTAAATTAAAATATTACAAGGGGTTCTCTAAGCAGGTTCATTTCTTCCAAACCTAATCTCGATCAATCGCATTCCATGAGATTAAGATGTTCAACACAGTTCCTATAGCCCTTCTATACTGAGTCTCTACGATTTCAGTCAGTCGGGGAAAAGACGGATTGTCCTCTTAGGGTTATCAATGATTCAACTTTATTTTAAGTTTATGGGGACTATCACCAACGTGGTAGTTGTATCGCATGGCTGAGACGGTCTGCTTATTGCACTCAAAATTGAAACAAGTGTTTTACTAGGACTATGTCGTTCGATTGAACGTCTCGAAATGAACTAGCAGTTGATGTGAATTTGACTCGCCTGTTGGAAGCCAGTGCGGTGTTCATCAACATCAAAGCTAAATTTTGGCCTTTAAATTGCTTTGGTATCTTAAACAGGTCCGGTGGCAATACGAGGACTCTCCCGAGGTCAGAAACGGACTTCCTTCTCCTCATGTGGTTAAAAGCCAAAGTTCTCGCGAGTCTACTCAGCCGGGTGAGAATGTGAGCCCCGAAAAGTGAGCGACTTTTCTCTCGCTTCCGCTTTCAGTATGTGTGAAAGTTTATCGTAACTTTTCCCCTGATCCACAGAACCACACTTAAGCCACAACCACAATCGAGTACAAACACTACTCGAGTTCGCATCTTCTCCGTCAGTGGTGTGAACCAGGATGAGAAGGTGCGATATCAGGCCATCATTACTGAACTCGGCGCCGATTTAGACCCTGGCATGACCGTTGGGGAGACCACCACTCACCTGATCATCAACTCTCCCAGTAAGCCACTTCTCATATACCTTCGATTCGACTTGGATACCCGCGAGTAGGCAGCGCTTTTCATTCTCTCAACGTGCAGGCCGATGTGAGAAGTACCTGATGTGCATGGCGGGTGGAAGGTGGATCTTGCACAAGTCCTACCTTGATGCTTGCGCTGCAGCCTCTGTGTGGTTGCCTGAGGAGGCCTACGAGTGGGGCGGACCCGGCACCGAGCCCCTCCTCATCCAACTCTCCCCCGCTTCCAATCGTTCCGGCCCCACGGGTGGCCTCTCCTGTGGGCAGCTGCGTGACCTTGCCAAGGCTGCACGCCATTGGCGCAAAACGGGCGGAGGTGCTTTTAAGGGTTGGAGGGTGGTTTTTGGTCCCGGGTGTGATAGAGAGAACAGCTTTAAGAGGATTATTGAGTTTGGTGGAGGAATGGTGAGTCCCTAGTAGATCGTTTTTACTTATCGAAATTTCAAAAAATTGAACTTTTTTAATTCTTCTAATCATCGTTTTCTCGATGTTTGAGGTTGGGTGTACCTGACATCCTCCTTCTTAAGCTATACCCTTCAACGAGTTATTCTTTGTTCCGTTGTATTTTATTACTTCAAAGTATTCTTCACTTATTTTCCATCGACGTGGCTTTTGAACGAAGTCAGTGGAGCTTCTTATAGTACGAGAGCACTAGAATAGCCCCATTGAGATTTCTCTTTTGTGAACAATGTTTCCATTTATTCACATTTCATCCCGTTTTTAAGGTATCCTCCCTATTGTTCTTTCATCTATGCCTTTTCAGATAAACAAAGTGCCTTTAGCTCTACTTTTGAAATCCCTGATTTTTTTACTTGTGACGGAATTACATTATTTTCTGATTTGGCTGCTGAGTCAGTTTAGTTTAAAACTTTACCCAATACTATTTTTTTTAACAAATAAACGTGCTTTATGGTAGTACTTATTTTCGTAATTAGGAAATATTTAGGACTTAGTATTCGTCTATCTTGGGGGCGAGTCTCCAGTAATTTAAGCTAAAAATTTTACATGCTTGGCCTGGTTATTTATTGCTTGCTTTTAAATAGTTGCTGAATTTTAAATAGTGATATTTCTAATGAATACAAATTTTCCTGCTTATTTTTGCTGCAAATGCTATTATGTAAGTTGGATACCTTCTTTTTATGAAGTTTTCTTGTACATAGTAGTAAATTTTACTACCTGTCATGGGAACGGTTGGCACAACCGTACGAATCGGACCCTTTCTGGAGGTGTGTTACCATTGGTAATGCACGCATTTATGACTGCTACTACAAAATAATCAGTAGGCTTTCTCTCACTTGGGTTTTTTTTTGACAGTGCACTTGAAATAAAAAACTTTCAGGGAACTAAGAGATTGTGCAGTTCTTGGGGGTCACTTATACCTGATTGTTTACATGACCTATAAAGGATATACATGTGTCAGTCTATCGATGCAGCATGTTTTATTGTGCTTGTAGTTCGGACCCTCATAATAAACTGGTCGAACTTGATGTGGTTCGAGCTTTTCTGCTTATCAATATAAATTTAGCTTGGTTCAGAATTCGCAGAAGCGATAACGGCACATTCGTTTAAGCAATTTGAAAGAATCTCAATTCTCAACAGTGAAGACTTGCACATCTCTATCTGTTAACATGTCAGGAACAAATCTCCGTAAGATTTTTTGAGTAAGTGGTGGCGGCATAATCCGTTGACACTTATGCCAACTGGTAAGGGAACGTCGTGGAACTTTTACATGCATTAACTGCTGCCGGTAAACTTCAAGGGCGTCCAGTTCGTTTTGCACTTTGCGTCGTATAGGCATGCCGCTGTGGCACAGGGTTATTTATTGGCTGATTTGTGTAGAGAAATAGCTGTTATTTAAAGATTTTGGACAAACGTTAAATGATCGCAAATTTCGTCGGTTAGCTCAGATGATCCGCTCACGACCTGCTCTACACTTCTGAGGCTCGTACTGCGTCATTCCTGGGTCATCCTCCACGTACTGGTTCTCACCTCTTGGCATCAGCATTACGCAGCCAAATGTGAAATGCAATAGACGTCTGGGTGGGAGACAAAAGTGGGATAATAATAGAAGTAGCTGTGGGACAAAAGCAGGATTCTCAAGCTTTTGTCTTGTTGCCTTTAGGGGTTGTTTTGACAAGTGATGCTTTAAAATGTTTTCTGCAGTTGCCTGACTTATTGCAAGAAAGTCTCATGAATCTGTGTGGGTACCGTAGTAGCAATCATACCAATGTTATCTGAAATGACATTTACACTCGCATTCGTAGTTGGGTTCAGCCAAGGCCTTACGCCTTTACGTGAAGTGCAGACACCGCGGATGATGTAACCTTTTTGAGACGCACCGTCCAATCTTGTGCTGCCTTCCAACCATTCAGCCCAGTGCGTGGCATCTCCCTCCCTCGTCGGTTGCTTTTGCTACCGCCTCCCTCTCCCCCTAGTGTCATGACTCACGTACCATTTTGTGCACAGAAAGTGAGTCATACAGCCCCCTCCACCCAGTAAGTGCTTTTTGTGAGACGCTGTAGGGGTGGCGGGTTGCAATCCTACCTCACACCTCGTCTCCTTTTTTCCGGTCGAGATAGGAGAGAGTTACATTCACACCTCTGCCAGTATCATTCATCTGTTTCTTTTTTATGTTCGCCCTCGAGGAGATTAGCCCATCCCCTCTATGCACCTGCTTCCTTCTACGACCATCAGACGTGTCACAGCGTTGTTCCTCTTCAGGACCTGCATTTTATTCCTGGGCTATAGTTGGCTCAATCGCAAAATTGTAAATTGCATGCTATCGTACTGTTCCTTTGATGTTTTCCCACCTCAGTAATTTTATCGCTTTGGTGTTCATAATTTGAAGCGTAATACCTAATCACGTTTGCTGGTTCCACCGACCAATTTGCTTCCTGTTTTCATAATTCGGTTTTTGTGGATAACCTCCGAATAGTCTTTTTTAGAGAAGTCAAGATTCAACTTTTTTTTTGTTTTACAAAACATGTTTGTCTGCTCTTTTTTCCTGTTCTCGAAAGCGGATCAGTTTATGTAAAGCACAGATTTGGCAAGGCCTACTAGATTGTCTCTTGACCCACATGATAGATAGTGAGGCTACAATCTCGCTTCTGAATTGCTTTTTATGCCCAAAGACAACCAAAGCCAATCACCCGATTTGTCTGCTCAATCCTCTAAAATTATATGATGTTGGGAGTGTGTTTGTCGGAAATACGCGGAAGAGCTGGGTTGTTAGTAGCGCAGGTGGTTGAGTTGCAGGAGCCTGGAGAGACCTGCACGGAAGCGTACAATTTAAGTAGGTGTTGCAGCCTCTGTCTGGTTTTGAGCGTTATCCGTAGTAGTTGCTTCGGTCACTTCCGTTTCGGGCCTTACAATAGTATTGAGGTGTATTGAAGTCGACTGCGGAACTAAGACGACGCCAGATATGCGATACCCAATCGCCAACGGGAAAACACTTCTGAATTTAGCAGTGACTGTGCATCTCGTCGATTCCACCTGCCGCATTTGTTTTGTAAAATGCACGATAAGGACCCATTTGTTGTTTTTGGCCTGGACTTTGTTCTACAGTGAACACAGGAGTATTTATGTAAAATTAAAACTATTTAATAAAGTAGCATCTCAGATCACTTTCCGGCTTCATTCTTCCTTTCCACTGTTACCATCTTGCTGTTATTCAGCCATTTGGGTTCATTGCTTACGTGTCAGCATTTGTGGGCTTTGAGTTGCTCAATTCTGGTCACCGCGATTCCAATAGCCCTTCTGTTGTGAGTCCTCTCAGATTCAAACATCCCCGCCAGACGCCAGTCCTTCTTGCTGTTTTGCTTTGCTAAACATTGGGATCCTTTTTTTATGAATTGGGTTCATCGATGCTTCCACCAACATGTCATCAGTTTTTTTGGTTGAGGGACCAGTAGTGCAGGTGACATGGGCAGAAAATTATTCTACAACCTAGAGACGCTTTGGCCCTGGAAATATTACGACTAGAAGGGGAATCACCTACTGGCGTAAAGCGCAATCGAAGCGACATACGCATCCTCACTCACTTTTTCATTGAGTTTTCACCCCTAAATGAGCCGTGCCGTGACTCAGTCCTGCGCTGTCCAACTTTTTTCCTTCTGCACGCTTCCTTTTTCTTACTTGGGCCTATTTTTCCTTCTTTCGACACTGGATGAACTCATTCCTCTGTCGAAGACTAAAGGGCGCTGAACAGGGATCGTGTTATCTCTGACACATTCGTTCCCCCCTATTGTCAGTTTTGTAATTGTGCTTTGTTGCTTTTTTCTACTCTCGACGTGGGTTGGCAGCCATTCTGACTTGGCACTGTTTACTCTTTCTCCCTCCTCTCCTCTTCGTTTCCATGTTGATGAACGGGAACGTTTTTTTTTGTTTTGAATTGACTTGGCTTTGGGGTAAATACTGTTTTGTTTGATTCATAAGATCAGGCATATCAATTCCAACTAGCTGCTGATGCATTACCGTTGTATTCTTGCCTACAATTCGAAGATATATTGTCCGTGTTACCTTTTAGTTCAACAATTTTTTTTTAAATTGTGCCCTCCTCGGGAGTACTTTTTCCGTGATTTATTTGATGGGATGTTTTTTTTCCAGTTTCATAAGATCATCTTTTATTTCTATTGCCATATAATTCTCCGGTCTGGTTTTCAGTGGTATCCATTGTCTAGACTATAGTGGAAGGAAAAACTAATCACTAGTGGTTTGTTTTGCATCCTCACATTGTTTAACTGAAAAACGTTAACGCACGTTTCGGATTATCTCTTTCTTCTATTTCTTCAAGTGCAATTTTCAGCTGATTTGGCGCTACAAGATTTGTGGCTTTAATCAACACTCCCTTCATGGGGTCAAATCCATGCAAATAATTGTGCCTGCTTGGAACTCGACCATTCTCCAAATAGCCAATACAAATTTTAGCTGAATTCTTTGCTTTTTTTAGTTGGATGCTGGTTTCTTTGCTCTGTTTTTGCTTTTATTCCCCTGAAAAATGAAACCCTCGTTTATCAGTCTCTGGTATTGCGGCCCCTTGAGGTGTTTTTTTCCGCCTTCAACTTCGTTGCCTGAAATAGCCATTCTGTTATTCAGTCGAATTCCCTGTTTTAATGCACCGATGATTGGAAATATTCCCAAACTCCTTAAATTTCCTCATTATCGTCTCTTTTTTTCTTTAAACACATTCTCCCACTTTTTTTGAAGGAATGGTTTTTTTTACCTCGTTTGTAGCTGGATTTTCATTTTGCCGATGTTTCATGAGATTATTCATAGTAACGGAGTGTTAATCCACGTCTAAATAGCTCTTTGTTTTTTTTTTTATTTTATTGCAAGAGAAATGGTTAAATACAGTCCTTATTTACGTCTTCTTTCGGTTCGTATAGGAAGGCGATTTCTTAGCTTCC